AGGTAAGTTTGAGAAACCGGCTCGAGATACACTTGTTGTTATATTCCATGGAATGCTCTTAACATCCCGATAGCAATGAATATCTGAAGTGCTTTGACAAAAAATCCATTAAAAAAATCATCTGTGGAAGCCGTGCTACTGTAAAAAGCACGACCAATCATCTGAGCCGGCCCGGCTAAAGTAACTGGATGGCCTACCTGCCTGTCAGCCTTCCATCTGTGCACAAACTTATCTCGTGCCCTCATTGGTCATGTGCGCGTTCGTGTGTGTTGGAGGAGGGGCTCTGTAAGGAAGTGGCCGATTTTTTCCGGCTGTGTATTTTCAAATTCTAGCGCACTCGAGCTGGTTTCTCCAAAATGACCTACCCCACCTTTAAGTACTTTAATTATTGCCCATTCACCAACATTAAGCATTTCCACCCTACACGAACAGGCTACCTCATTTCGGAAATGACTTTAAAATATCAAACATAACATCCTGTTTTTGATTAAATCCCTTAAGTGTTCTAAACCCGGATGTTCAGTCTTTTTTCTCTCGAGATGCTGACGTGAAAGCTTTTTGTTCTACTAACAACACACTTCCATCATTAATTAAAGACGCAACAACCCTTAAGTTATAATCATCCAAGCACCATATTAAAACAAAACGATGAACATGGCACATCATAATGATCCTGTACTCATCTGCTCACTGAAACACAGCAGACGCCAGCCTAACAGTCGCTGTTATTTTTACAACACAGCTTGCAGCATACATTATTCATCTTGTTTGGTGAGAAGAAGCCTAGCTGGAATGGGGAGGAGGAGGAGGAGGAGGAGGAGGAGGAGGAGGATGAGGATGATGAGGATGATGATAATCCGGCTGGCTCTGCAGAACAACACAGCAGTGGAGGAGTGGAGAGACGGGAGGACACAGAGACAGCCATTGACACCATTACTGGATATGGAGGAAGGGTTTGACCACCAGAGTGCTGGGCGTCAGCTGGCTCGGGGAGTAATGGATTACATGTAACAAGATGAAAAACCAACAAATCTTCATTATGGCTTTTATATTTAAAATAATGCTTTCACTGGGTGGAAATTAGTGCTGCTTTTATGTTCATTTTCAGGATCATATTTGTATGTTGTGTCTCTACTGTGACATGTTTACATGCTTTAATGTTCAAAAAGCTCTTTACTTTTCTCATCCTGCCTGTGCTCTGAAACCCAGAGCCCAGTCTGCTCTGATTGGCTAGCTGGTCGGCTCTGCTGTGATTGGTCCACCTCTAAGAGATGTCCTGACCCTTAGTCTATCATATCAAATGTGTAACCCTAACCAATAAAAGCACAAGTGGGATTTAGTCTTTAGTTTTAGCAGACCATTTACATGCACAAACCTATATCAAATCAAATCAAGTTTTATTTATATAACACATTTTAAAAACGATTTTTGGTAAAGCCAAAGTGCTGTACATGCAATAAAAACGCTACAGGAAAGGAAAACTCCCAAAAACACTTTAGACAAAAATTATGTGTAGTGGTTTTAATTTGTAAACCTTACTATGATATAGGCCTAGCAGATAATATACTTTAGAGTCATTAGGCCTGTATATCAGGAAACTATTAATGTAATACATGTTTTAAAGTAACCTTCAAAAGCCTGGGCGTGAGCAATGACAGGGAGAGATTAGATTGTACTGCTACTGTATGCACGTGTAAATGTTTTATATAACATACTTAACAAGCATCATTAGCTCACAGCCATTGATGATACATTTGTCTCCAGTGCTGTCGAGGGAGACAGGGACAGGCTGTGACTTCCTGTTTCAAAAAATGCAGTCTTTATAACAAAACACTGTTCTGAGCTGCAGAGTGATAATGAGAGGAGAGTGTGTGAGAGGAGAGTGTGTGAGAGGAGAGAGCACAGCATCACCCCCCGGGTTCGGCTCAGTCACTGCACTGTTTCTGCCTCTGAGGGCCGACACGCGCCAAGTCTTAGTTATGTAATGTCAGAATCGTGCGCACAGCTGAGAGGAGGCTGAAGAAATAACACCAGACAGCTAAAGAAACAAAAGGCTGTCACATGATGAAGAAAGCTGGAGCTGCACCGATTGGTCGACTAATTGATGAGTTGATTGTCATAAAAATAATTAGCCGCCATTTTTGTGATTGTTTGGTCTTTTAATCTAAGATGAATCTGCTATTACAAAAAAAAAGAAGACATTCAATCGATTTTTGCAGAAACATTAGAGGTGATGGGAGATCATTGAATAGTCGGTTGTCAGAAAAATCGTCTCCTGCTTTGATAATTGATTATTTTGGTGGCTTTTGGTGCAAAAATGGCAGAAAAATCGGTTTTCAGCCCCTAAATATGGGGATTTCCTGATTTTCACAATTGTATTTTACAATAAACTAAATATCTTTGGTTTTGTTTATAACAAAACATAAAGTTTAAAAAGGCCTCCCATTGACTTTGAGAAACTACTATTGATCTTTCCCTCATTTCTGACATTCAGACCAAACGATTAATCACGAGAATAATCAATAATGAAGATAATCTCTAGATGGCCTCCATCCCTGACCGTCCTCACGTTGGATCACATGCTCCTCAGCCGACACAAACATGACATCACCCGTCCGCCATCTGCACAGACTCTCTTCGTATGTTTGCCACATCAAAATGAACGCAGAGGTCAACAAATCTCAGAGCTGGCAGGCGAGCAGTTGCATAACAGCACTATTTCTGGGGCAAATATCCTGCCTGATGGTGAGCTCATGCAGGATGACGTTAGGCCGAAGCCTCCAATTTGACCCTGAAGCTGAAATCTCTGATCTAAGGAGGTCTAGTCTGGGGCTCCCTAATNGCCCTACAATATCTTGGCACTATTGATATTGAGGTATTTGGTAAAACACATTGAGATACCAGCTTCAATATTAATGTCCAAGCCTTCAAGGTTCTTTATTGTCAAATAAAGAACCTTGAAGGCTTGGACATTAATATTGAAGCTGGTATCTCAATGTGTTTTACCAAATACCTCAATATCAATAGTGCCAAGATATTGTAGGGCTCATTATGGGTGCTTTCATAAAATATGTCCACGATGAGATTTTTGCTAATCACCAGTAGTTTGGAGAAAATTAGTGAATTAAAAAAATAAATTATATGTCATCACTTCACTGTAATGCATCCTATAAACCAGGAAAAGGTAATACTTGTGGCATACAATAATTTATAAAATGTAGGAATTAGGGCTGTCAAACGATTACAAATTTTAATCAGATTAATCACAGCTTAAAATTCGAACTATGTCCAAAATATGCCATTTCTTCATGTATAGTGTTGTGGGAATGGAAAGATAAATGAAAGAAGGCGGATTTAACATACAGTATGTATGTATGTATGTTTATTATAACATTGTTCTGTGTGTCAAAATGAAAGACAGCCCACACACCTATTAATCATCAAACCTTGGGTTCTTATTTCATTACGTGTTGATTTCTATCAACACGTAATGTTGTATCGATGTATAGAGATGTACTACAGCAAGAGTATTCTCCGTCGGGACTTCCTGCAACAACACCACACCGTTATCTTGATTCTGATTGGCCAGAAGACATTATCAAAGATGTTCTATTGAGAAGACGATCACTACGTGACAAAAGTTTTCAAAACCGTTTCTAGTCTTTGGTATTTCCAGAGAAGTGGCTCCTGAAATCAATCTTACTAACTGCTGTCTGTCCAATTTACTCCGCACGAGTTGGCGGACTTTATTTTGCTTAATTTAACATCACTTTTCATGGTGGGGCTAAGCCATTTCTTGGTATGGCTGTAGCCAACCCCATTGCCACTGGTGGGATGTATGGGGCGGCCATTCTGCACATTCGTTAAATGCGTTAAATATTTTAACGCAATTAATTCAAAAGATTTATTACCACCGTTAACGCGATAATTTTGACAGCATTAGTAGGAATATATTTGGTCTCATATCAGGATATCATTATAACATTGATATATTGCTAATTGAAAATACATCATAATACGTTATAGTAAACACTGCTCCATGTTTGCTGAAGGAAAACCAAGTGTGTGTTTACAGTCCTCCTCTACTAGAGCAACTAAAGAGGATTTACATTTTTGCTATCCTTAGCAACTTCATAATCATAATCTGGGATGGAAGTTCTTTACAAATCACATTAGTGGTCTCAATGCTAAAGACTTCAATGGCTGCCTCTGTTCTCTCTGAACAAGCTCCTTCACATTCTCTATGTGGTCACAACTCACTGCAGCTTTAGGAGAACGGTATGCTCAGAAAGAGAGAATTAAGTCACCTTGATTATGACATAACAAGCACTAAACAAACATGTGTGTGTTTGCAGGTTGACGGGCACCATGGAGATGCTCCACGGTCAGGTGGAGAGCCTGACCACTCGGGTGGAGGAGCTGCGGACCCTGGAGGAGCTGAGGGTCCGCAGAGAGAAGAAGGAGCGCCGCAAGACTGTGCACTCCTTCCCCTGCCTCAAGGAGCTCTGCACTGCGCCAAGGTCACTTTTAGTTTCTATTGGACAGTGTGCATCGACAAAAAGGCCCTACACTTTATTCAAACAGATACATGTTACAAGTATGCTGCAAATACTTGCTGCATGAAACACAGATATAAAAGTTAATTCGGCAGGAAACCCGGTGGTTTGAGCAAAGTCATTCTCCAGTAATTATCAGACTGATGATGGAATTATTTACTCACAAGACTATTACAGTTTATTATACAGTCATGTGACACAATCGTAACATATTTACTTGAAATGTGACTCTAAAATGTGACTCTCCATCAAATAAAAAAGTAACATTATATTCATTTTCAGTAACTGACTGCAGAGTGGCAGTAACAGCTGTCTCTGAAGTTTCTGACTTTTGGAATTGAGATGATTTGATGCACTTAAAGGTCTCCTATCATGCTAAATGCACTTTTTGATGTCTTTTATACATAAATGTGTCCCCGGTGTGTCAGGGAACTTACAAAGTGTCAGAAAACAAAACCCTCTCTCTTTTCCTCCGTACCCACATCTCTAAAACCGGGGGTACAACTGAGTTGATCCAGATTTGCTGCCGATATGACGTCATATCNAATTACATTGCATGAAATCAGGAAATCCCCAGTACTTTATCGGGCGAAACCGATTCTGCCCATTTTGCCCACCAAAAAACGCCAAATAATCAATTATCAAAACAGGACGAATTTTTCTGCACACCGACTATTCAAAATGATCTCCCACTCACCTCGTAACTGTCTCTGCCCAAAAACGCATTGATGTCTTTTGTTTTTTTCTAATAGCAGATTCGATTTTAATTAAAGACCAAACAATCACAAAAATGGCGGCTAATTATTTTTATGACAAGCAACTATCAATAGGTCGCCAATCGTGCAGCTCCAGCCTTTCTTCATCATGTGCAGCCTTTTGTTTCTTTAGCCTGTCTGCGTGTTATTTCTTCAGCCCCTCCTCTCAGCGTGCGCAACGATTCTGACATACATAACTAAGACTTGGCGCCGTGTCGGCCCTCAGAGGCAGACAGAAAAAAAAACTGCAGGTGACTGAGCTGAACCCGGGGGGTGATGCCTCGTGCTCTCTCCTCTCACACACTTCCTCTCACACACCTCTCCTCTCATTATCACTCTGCAGGCTCAGAACGTGTTTTGTTATAAAGACTGCATTTTTTTTGAAACAGAAGTCACAGCCTGTCCCGTGTCTCCCTCGACAGCAATGGAGAGCAAATGCTATCATCAATGCTGTGACTCAATGTATGCTTGTTAAGTATGCTTATATAAAACATTTACACGTGCCATACGAGTAGCGAGGTACAATCTAATCTCTCCTGTCATTGTTCACGCCAGGGCTTTTTGTGAAGGGTTACTTTAAAAAATGTATTACATAATAGTTCCTGAGCTTATACAGGCCTAATGGACTCTAAAGTAGTATTATCTGCCTAGGCCTTATCATAGTAAGCGTTCAAATTAAAAACACTACACATAATTTTTGTCTAAAGTTTTTTGGAGTTTTCGCTTCCTGTAGCGTTTTTTTGCATGTACAGCACTTTGGCTTTACCAAAATCGTTTTAAAATGTGTCGATATAAATAAACTTGATTATTTGATATATGGTTTGTGCATGTAAATGGTCTGCTAAGACTAAAGACTTAAATGCCCACTTGTGCTTTGTTGGTTTAGGGTTAACAACTTGATTATGATAGGACTAGGGTCAGACATCTCTTAGAGGTGGACAATCACAGCAGAGCCGACTCAGGCTAGCCAATCAGAGCAGAGCTTGGGGCTCTGCCCCCCGGGGGTTTTCAGAGCCAAGGCAGGATGAGAAAGCTAAAGAGCTTTTTGAACATTTAAAGCATAGGCTTAAACGCATGTCACAGTAGAGACACACACATACAATATGATCCTGAAACATAACATAAAAGCAGGCACTAATTCCACCAGCCTCGAAAGCTTTCTTTAAATTATACAAAGCCATAAGAAATTTGTTGGTTTTTCATCTTGCTTACATGTAATCATTACTCCCCGAGCTTAGCTGACGCCCAGCACTCAGGTGCGTCAAACCCTTCCTCATATCCAGTAATGTGTCAAATGGCTGTCGTCTGTGTCCTCCCGTCTCGTCCACTCCTCGCACTGCCCTGTGTTGTTCTGCAGAGCCAGCTCGGATTATTCTCCTCTCCTCCTGCCGTTCCCTCCTCCGCCTCCTCCCTTGGCGCTCCTCCTCCTCCTCCTCTCCTCACCATTCCAGCCTAGGCTTCTTCTCAACCAAACAAGATGAATAATGCCTCATGCCTGCCAAGCTTGTGTTGTAAAAAATAACAGCGACTGTTAGGCTGGCGTCTGCTGTGTTTCAGTGAGCAGATGAGTACAGGATCATTATGATGTGCCATGTTCATCGTTTTGTTTTAATATGGTGCTTGGATGATTATAACTTAAGGGTTGTTGCGTCTTTAATTAATGATGGAAGTGTGTTGTTAGTAGAACAAAAAGCTTTCACGTCAGCATCTCGAGAGAAAAAGACTGAACATCCGGGTTTAGAACACTTAAGGGATTTAATCAAAAACAGGATGTTATGTTTGATATTTTAAAGTCATTTCCGAAATGAGGTAGCCTGTTCGTGTAGGGTGGAAATGCTTAATGTTGGTGAATGGGCAATAATTAAAGTACTTAAAGGTGGGGTAGGTCATTTTGGAGAAACCAGCTCGAGTGCGCTAGAATTTGAAAATACACATCCGGAAAAAATCGGCCACTTCCTTACAGAGCCCCTCCTCCAACACACACGAACGCGCACATGACCAATGAGGGCACGAGATAAGTTTGTGCACAGATGGAAGGCTGACAGGCAGGTAGGCCATCCAGTTACTTTAGTCGGGCCGGCTCAGATGATTGGTCGTGCTTTTTACAGTAGCACGGCTTCCACAGATGAAATTTTTTAATGGATTTTTTGTCAAAGCACTTCAGATATTCATTGCTATCGGGATGTTAAGAGTATTCCATGGAATATAACAACAAGTGTATCTCGAGCTGGTTTCTCAAACTTACCTACCCCACCTTTAAGTACATTATTTAGCTAGTAGTTCTTTGCTTGTGTACTTCTATGTTATGCTACTTTATTCTTCAACTTCACTACATACAGGGATATAATGCATTTTGACTCCACTACATTTATCTGACAGCTTTAGTTACATTACAGATTAATACTTGTTTGAGAAAGAGGCTAAACATATCCAATATATTACAATAAGATAAGAAAGAAAGTCTGTCTACAACAGTAAAATGCTACTAAGTGCAACAATATAAAAAAATCTATAATTTTCATACCATATTTAATCAAATATAGCAAATGGAGGCCATTTCTCTCCAGAATGGGGACTTTTACTTTTGATTTTTTTGTGAGATTCTGAATGCGCAACTCTTAATCTTAATGGAGTATTGTGACATTAATGTATTTGTACTTTTACTTAATTAGATCATTTGAATACTTATTTCACAGCTTTTGAATGAGCACCTCAGCTGCAGTGAGTGCTTCTCTTGAGATCCCCTCACTCCTTGGTTAAAGAAAAAGTGTTTACCAGTGAACTCAGATGCTCCTCTCTCACCCCTCCCCCCTGTTTGTGTCTGTTTTTCCTTCTCGCCCCCTGTCAGACCTGCACTTGGCAGCCGAGCTCGGTAAAACCCTCCTGGAACGCAACAAGGAGCTGGAGGACGCCCTGCAGCAGATGTACATCAACAACGATGATCAAGTGCAGGAGATAGAGGTGAGTGTGTCCTACATATTGTTACTCTGGGAGTGTGTTGCAGATAATTAATGTGAAGCAGGGATAACTTAAAAGATAAATCAAGGAGCACCAGGAGCGTTTGTTCTGTGAACATGGAAGATTAATGACTGATTCTGTCGCCTCATCAAAGACTCAACTCATTATTAGTCAGAAGCCTGGCTGAGGATGAGTGTACTCATGTAGACACAGTACATAACTGTGGAAGCTGAAGAATGTAATTTATGTCTCTAAAAATAAAAAATGTCATAGTTTAGTATGTTGTAGTAAATGTCACGATTATGTCATAGTATATTGTGAGGCAATCATAAAAAACCATAGTGTAGTATGACATAATAAATTGAATAAAACGTCATAGTATAGTATTTCACAATAAATATCATTAAAAAGTCATGCCACAACAAATATTAAAAAGTAGTAGTATAGAATATCACAATAAATGTCATAAAAATGTCATAGAATATTCTTAAAAGAGAATGCCATTAAACATTATTTAAACTTAACTTGTCACTAGTTTTTATGCATTTGTGGTCCCATATTGGTCATGTGTTACAGCTGACTCAAGATGTGGACATATTTTATAGTTCGAATTTGAGTTGATTTTTTATTTACATTGTGTTGAATTACTAAAGATGAATTTAGTAATGAATCTGTTACTTTTGACCTTGCCTCCTTGCAGTACCTGTCGAAGCAGCTGGAAACGCTGCGGGAGATGAACGAGCAGCACGCCAAGGTGTACGAACAGCTGGATGTGACGGCCAGAGAGCTGGAGATCACCAACGAGAAGCTGGTGCTGGAGAGCAAGACCTCGCATCAGAAAATAGACAGGTGAGAACACACAGTATACAAAAACATGTTCGTAACAAGAGCCATGTCACATATCACCCTCGTCATCATCACATCACAGGCTTTTAAAGGGACGTTTTGAAGCCAAACAAGCATTAACCAACTGAAGACCCCCATCACCCCAGCCACAAACTGTTCAGTCTGCTGCCGTCTGGCAGACGTTACCGCAGCATCTGGACAAAAACAACCAGATTCAGAGACAGTTTCATCCCACAGGCAATAAGACTGTTAAACACCTGAACTGCTGAAACAGTTTCATAACATTCATCTGCTACTTAGTAATTATGTATCTATTATCTAATATATCATTCCAATAACTTGTATATAGACTCGTATTGCACTATTCCACTTTTTTTCCCTCACTTTTTTAAAACTATTTTTCTTTTTGTATTACTTTTAATATAGTATATTTTAATATTGTTTTAATATTGTCTGCTTATCTGTATTATTGTGTTGCATTGTTGGAGAAGCCTGTGACCTAAGATTTTCAACGACATAATTACTCTGTAGCTATGTTAGTTTGACAATAAAGAACCTTGAAGGCTTGGACATTAATATTGAAGCTGGTATCTCAATGTGTTTTACCAAATACCTCAATATCAATAGTGCCAAGATTTGTGGGCTCCCGTTATGGGGTGCTTTCATAATATATATGTCCGACGATGAGATTGTTTTGCTAATCACAGTACGTTTGGAGAAAACTTAGCTGAATTAAACAGAATGATAGGATTATATGTCAATCAACTTCACTGTATATGCATCCTTATAAACCGCAGGAAAAGTGTCATCTTGTTGGCATACAAGATAAGTTTAGTAAAATGTGAGGAGTAGGGCTGTCAAGACGATTACAAATTTTAATCAGATTAACTCACAGGGGGCTAAAAATTCGAACGTATGTCCAGAAATATGCCATTTCTTCATGTATAGTGTTGTGGGAATGGGAAAGAGTAAATGAAAGAAGGCGGATTTAACATGCAGTATGTATGTTATGTATGTTCCTATTCCCTAGTAACATTGTTCTGTGTGGCAAAGATGAAAGCGAGGCACACCTATTATCATCACCTTGGGCGGTTTCCCGAGTTACGGTGATTTCTAGGGCCACCCACAGTAATGTTGTGATCAGATGTATAGAGAATGGTTGTACTACAGCAAGGAGTATTCTCCGTCGAGCGTGCGGCGGCAACATCACCCCCATTCGTTTAGATCTGGATTCTGATTGTGCCAGAAGATCATTATCAAAAGATGTTTCTATTGAGAATGTACGATCAGCTACCGTGACCAANAAATGTGACTCTCCATCAAATAAAAAAGTAACATTATATTCATTTTCAGTAACCGACTGCAGAGTGGCAGTAACAGCTGTCTCTGAAGTTTCTGACTTTTTGGAATTGAGATGATTTGATGCACTTAAAGGTCTCCTATCATGCTAAATGCACTTTTTGATGTCTTTTATACATAAATGTGTCCCCGGTGTGTCAGGGAACTTACAAAGTGTCAGAAAACAAAACCCTCTCTCTTTTCCTCCGTACCCACATCTCTAAAACCGGGGGTACAACTGAGTTGATCCAGATTTGCTGCCGATATGACGTCATATCGGAAATGTGGGCTGGCTTTACACCCACGGCACTATCAGAAACAATGCCCGACGTGTTTTGGACGTAATATGGCCTGTGTTTACATTAGCAAGCATCGCTAACACTCAGAGCTAACCTGTACTGGAGAGAGTATGTGTAAAAAAAGCAGGAAATAAAAAAAGGAACTCACCTTGTGGTAAACCCGCAATTGAAGAAGCATTTGAGCTCCATACTGTTTCAGAAGAAGAAACAGGACACCTTTTGTTTTAAAAGTTATGCGAACACCCATTAGTATGCGATTGTTTAATTTGGTTTTATGTAGTCTTTAAATAATTCTTAACAACTAGAACAAATGTATGATTGTGACCTTGTGGAGTATTATTGTCAAAACGTCAACACTTCTTGTTCTCAGGTATGAGGATGGTTTCCTGCTGGCCAACCCGGGCAGTGTGGACCTGGCGGAGAGCCGGCCGCTGGACGAGGAGAACGAGAGACTCAGAGACATCGTGTCCTCCCTACGCTCAGCTGTCTCTGCAGAGCGGTCCCAGCGGGAGGGCACGGAGCGGGAGTGTGCCTCCGTGCTGCAGGAGTTCGAGCGTCTGGAGCAGCGCCTCCTGGGAGCGGAGGGCTGCCAGCTGAGGGTCCAGGAGCTGGAGGCGGAGCTACAGGAGATGCAGCAGCTCCGGAAGTCTAGGGTGTGTCTGATTGGAGGGATGGAGGACAGCCTGGAGACGCTGCTCAGCAACGGCCCCGAGACAGACACCCCGGAGGAAGGCGTGGGGCAGGAGGAGGGGGGCGGGGAGAGTCAGGGGGCTCGGGGCAGCAGGGGGGCCCGGTGAGGAAGAGCTGCAGCGACACGGCTCTGAACGCCATCTCCGCCCGGGACGCTTCGGGCAGGAGGCAGGGCAGCTACGCCACACATGCTAACGGCGTGCGGAAACGCGGCATGTCCATCCTGCGCGAGGTGGACGAGCAGTACCACGCGCTGCTGGAGAAGTACGAGGAGCTGCTGGGGAAGTGCCGGCGCCACGAGGAGAGCCTGTGCCACGCGGGGGTGCAGACCTCCAGGCCCGTGTCCAGAGACCCCTCCATGAAGGACTACAGCATGGTGAGCGCCGGGCCGTCCACATCAGGGGCTGTCGCCGCCATGCCCACGCCGCCTCAAACCCCCTCCACCCCGGAGGCCCTGGAGGGGATCAGCCGGCAGGTGGAGCAGGTGGACAAACGCCTCAGCCAGAACACCCCCGAGTACAAGGCGCTGTTCAAAGAGATCTTCAACCGCCTGCAGAAGACCAAGAGTGACGTGAACTCCAAGAGCAAAAAGGGTCACAAATGAGATGAAAACTGTGACTCCTGTTTTCAGGACTTCTTGTCTTACGTTTGACCACCAGTGACTTAAAGGGTGAATACCTGCAGTCATTGGTTGGGTAATGCTTATTGTTAGGGTGAATGGCTGATTTAACTGAAACTGCCAAATATCTCGACATGAAGGAAGTTGATGAAATGCCTTTTTCTCAGTGACCTTAACTGAAGAATAATCAGGAGGAGATAAGGACAGATTAGTGAGTGATGTAGTTTGTGATTGAGATGTGTTGATGCAGGAATTATTTAACTTCTATTTTTTATTTATGGAAACCAATTAAGCCAAATAATATAAAAAGAGAAACAAGCCGGCTTTGAAACTACTTACAGCATTTAAAGCATGCACCTGTCTAATAAACACTAAGTGCTTAATAAGTCTTTTAAAGCAGGAGGAAACAAACCACACGCTACTGATCAGCTTGAGGCGCAACAGTGTGATACTTTAGTGTGTTTGAATTTGTTGGTTGAAATCCTTCAGCTGCCAAAGTGTACTGTGCATACGTGTTACATTTGTTTACTTTCATGGTTTAGTTCAACTTATCTGGTGAATGAGACGAGATGCCTCTGGTGTTTTTACAGCATGCATTACGAACAGCAGGGATTCGTTTGACATAACATTATCAGTTCTACGCCATACTACTACATTGCCATGTAAAATGTTTTCTGTTGATTAAAATAAGAAACGTATCATCCATTGTCTTTTTTCTGTTGAAGAGGCTCCATTTTGTTTGTTTTTATGCCTTTCCTGTAGTGTGTTATAGGTTTGTGTGCATGTAAATGCTCTGCCAAAGCTAAAATCCCAAAGTTCCCTCAAGAGGGAGTTTCTCTCCCACACTCTCGCCCTCCCCCCCTGCCTGAAACTCCATTGGACTCTTTTGTTTACTTCTGTAATATAGTGACATCACTATGTAACACTATTGGCTAGCGCTCCAACACATTATGATATGCCAAGGGGCGGGACATCTCTTAAGTGGTTGACCAATCACAACAGAGCCGGCCAAAGCTGTTTTGAACATTAAAGTTCCTATGTCATGCTTTTCTGGTTATTACCCGTCCCCTTGTGTGTTATGTAGCTTTTTCTGCATGTAAACGGTCTGCAGAGTCACAAACCCTCAAAGTGCACCCTGTAGCGAGTAAAACTCTAACACAGAAAAGACCTGTCTATGCTGCCCCAGAACGCTTCGTTGGAGATTTCTCGTCATGCGGTTCCCGGAACCAAAATGGACCAATCCGCGGAGCTCCTCACACACCAGGATCCCTTGGCGTCACTATCAAACGCAGTGGGGGGACCTTGAGCGTACATTTTCAACTAACAGGGCGTCCCATTGACTTGCATAGAGCTCCCTGGTTGGTAATGGACGAATTGGGATCGCGGAGAAATGCTCTCCGCAGACCCATTCTCACAGCGTTATAAACCTTTCTTACTCAATATCCAGCCACACTTATTGTTTTTACTTCGGCTGTGAGTGTTTGTGTGTGCTCAGGATGAGTTTCGCGCTGTATCGCTGACCCGGAAACCACACCAGTAAGCCAGCTCACTGAGCAGCGAGCCTCGCATCGTCCCGACCAATCAGAGCACACTGGGCTGACAGGGAGGGTGGTGGGGGGGGGACAGACAGAGAGTGAATACCGGTGAATACACATACTGTACAGAGATGCTGTATGAGAAACCAATGTGAGTTTGTAAAATTGCACAATATAAATGTATTCTAGTAGACCTCATAAATGGAATTAAGATCAGTAGAAATGGCCATGTCATGGGCCCTTTAAAGCATGTTCACATATCACATTAGACACAGTACAAATATGAACCTGAAATAAGCATAAAAAGGCCCCTTTAAGTGTTTAGAGAGGCAACACATCCTAGTGCAGGTTGAATAAAACAACAGGACACATGCAGGCCCAGTCTGAACACTTTAATGTGAACACAGGATATCAGTAAACAGTAGGTCATACAAGAATCACACATTGAGTAAAACCCAACCTACAGAGACAAACATCAGTCTGTGACACAAGCGCCTAACGAAGCAGTGGATACAGACTTCATTTCCATACTTCTTCTGGAGTGTATAAAAAAAAAAGGAATAACACTTTAGATATGTCTGGTTGGGGACTGATGTCTCTACACTGGTTCAGAAGTCAATTACAGACAACGTTTCACCTCCCTGATGTCGAGCACAGAGTGCCGTCGTCAGCAGGAGCAGCATGTGGTTGTAAGAGAGGCACAGTTAGCGGTGGTCATTTTAAACTCGAGTAATACAGGATGAGTGGTTTTACAGTCCTTGGACACGTTGGAAAAATATGGCCTACGGGACTAGAAAAGGACACTGGGTGACAAAAAGCCATTAGTACAACCTGGACTCATCCTTACAGCTGTTGTCAATGATCGAAAAATAAAAAGTTAATTCAACACTGTCAAGAAAAGGATGTTTGTAAATCAAGCTAACATGATGGACGCCAACACAATCGCTTTTTACAAATCGTCATACCTGAATTAAAAAATGTTCCCTGTCCATGTGGTGTTATCACATTATGTATGTATCAGAAGGCAAATGGCTCATTTAGGTAGTCTATTTCTTCCAATGGGTTATGTTAAGGCCACATGGCTGCTAAAAAGAAGACAATATACCCTGATCAGGAGAGGAAGACCTACAGCGAGGGGTCACGGCGGGTCAGAGGTCAATTCGTTTCAGACTAAATCATTTGAAAAAGAGATGGCCTGAATCCCAAATAATTTAGCGGGACCCTGATACGAATAATCTGCTCAGAGGCTTTAGGAGGTCCAAGAGTGGTTTCCAGCTATGATTTCTCAAATACAGCTCTACTGCTTCCTGTACGATGCTATTCAAGGCAGATCACGGTATTCGTAGAAAAAAAAACAATCTGGTCGTAGATCAGAATGAAAGAGAGGGTACAGGGGGGGTCACTTTCCAGCAGTTAACAAGACTATCTTTTTTTTTTACTTAATTTTTTCTTTTATAAACAAACTGAGAAATCTGGATCGTGCGCATCGTTTGCTTTCTCCTTTTGTATAGCTTAGCAGAAAGGTGGAAATGAATGAAAGCGCTAGGATGGAAGGAGGTGATTGGAATTTAGAAACACTGTAAAGAGCGGGGGGAGGGGGTTGTCGATGGACGGAGAGAGCGACATCTCAAATCAACACGTAATGCAGACAGATAAAATGGAATGACAGCAAGAAAGGAAAGGGGGAACCAAGCGGAGGAAGTCGTGGAGGGCGAATCATTCGGTCCAGTCTTTCTTGATCGCGATGCACCACTCCCAGGAGAGGTGGTCGTGCTTGTCGTCGTCGGTGAACTTGGACTTGATGGTGTAGGTGCCGCGGGCGATCATCCCTTTGGGGGCGTCCTCCATGGGGGTGACGAACGTGTACTCCTCAGAGGGTCTCGGGCCATAGCTGCCCACCATGTAGTCAGACTTCTCAACTGTACATCGGAGAGAGTAAGAAGAAAGGGTTTCAACACATTTCTTAAACCAAGCCTCGGTTAGACCCTTAAACAGAACGTGTATACTGATTTCACACCGGAAGAAATGCCTAAAAATGTGCCACAACTTGCTTTACAGAGAATAAGTAAAGCAAACAATCTGCATTAGAGCTGCACAATAAGTAGAGTGAAGAAACCTGCTAATATTTGGAAATTGATTGATTGTTTAAGTAACTTTTTATATACAAAAAACGTTTTATCCTCTTGGGAACCGAGGAAAAAAATCTATTTAGGGTTAAAAAAAAAAAAAGAAGCTTGCTATTTTTTTTTAACATTTTAATTTAATTTTAAATATTACAGTAAAGACTTAGTAATTTTGTCTGTAGTAAACTCAAAGCATCTGGGTTTTGGAGCGACAAGTCAAACATTTCACCTATTTGTTGACATTTCCTAGACCAAAAGGTCCATTCCTCTTGATTCAAAAGATAATCTGCAGATGAATCCACAACAGAAATGCTACTTGAAGCCTTAATCTCCACAAACTAAAAACATACAGTTATTCCAACAAGAAAGAAAGTTCCTTTGGATGCTTTTTAACCTCGGGTTTTACAAATGAAATCTGTAATTGTGGTGGAATACGCTTGAAGCTAAGCTAACCGCCAGCTGGGTTAAGCTTTATATTTAATCTAATGCCTTCAATGATGAATGACCCCGATCTCGTCATTAAAGTCATAAAAAGGAAACAAAGAATAGCATTTCCTTAAATTGTGGAATTGATCCTTTAAGTCTTGGTGCTGTTTTAGATAAGATTTTAATTTGCAATATACTTGAGGATTTACAGGTGTTAAATAAAATGAGGTGTTCTTACCCTTAATTCCTCCCCGGAATGACTGCTGAGTGTACTTCATGCCGGACACAATATCCTTGTTGACCTGGAAAGGAGACACTCGTCACCTCCTGCTCAACACGAACGCTTCACAACAAAGATGGCTTCATAACACCAATACTGCTACGTTACTGCAACAGTTTGACACAACAAACAGAGAGGAATCCAGAGCCCCTCACCTTGAAGTTGATCTGTATTCTATATTCCACCCCTTCCTTCAGAACAAATGGGCTCTTCTTGAATTTAGTCAGGTCTCCTAAAAGGGAAAACAACACAAACAGAAAGGTCAAAAGGTGGAACGAAGCTGTTGCTCAAAGCGGTGAAGCGCTCATCCACCACTTGGACTCTGCTTCGATCCCCAGCCCTGCAATCAACACGTCGTTATGTCCTTGGGCAAGATGCTTAACCCCAGGTTGCTCCCGATGGCCAACGGTGTGAGAGTGCGTGTGTGTGTGTGTTACTTTCCCTGAGCACTTTGTATGGCAGCCTCTGCCTCTGTATGAATGTGTTGGTATCAGAATACCTTTACCCGTCCCACAGTACCAGCTTAGCAACAAAGCAGCCAGGAATCAGTGAATGCTGACTTGTATGCAAGTGCTTTGAGTAGTCGCCAAGACTGGAAAGACGCTATTTTAAAAAAAGTAAATGTACCATTTCAGTGTCGAGATATATAACTAAGGATGAGTTTGGCACAACATGCTTTTAAAACATACAAAAAGAGGGGGTTTTATGATTAGGATTGAACTCACAAAGATATACAATAACTATTTAAGGGTGTGCTGAAGACTTTCCTTTTTAATAAAGCCTATAGTTAGAGCTGGTTGTTTTATTGTTTTTTTATCCAATTGTATTTTTATTTGACATTCTATGTTGTCCTTTTATTATATTCTCTTTTTAGCACTGTCATTCATGTTTGTTTATCTGTACTGAGACAAACGTGTTTTGTGATATTGGGCTACAAAAATAACATTGGATTTGATAAAAAAGCAGGATTGTTATGATTTATTTTTTACCTATAGAAAAGGGAATTTAATTCTCAAAAGCAAAGTGGAGTTGTATTGTGATTTCCAGCCCCCTGCAGTAACACCAGTGACCAGCAGGGGGCGCAGTGACCCTGGCTCTGCTGTGGTTCATTGTGAGGACTGGCAGGAGCACCAGGAAATGTAACCCACTTACCCAGGAATCACGTCATTACTAATTAGTAGAGTAATGACCCAGCAGGTCATTTGGTCTATATCTGCACACAAAGATGGGAGTGATTACTCTCCATAATTAATGTTACTATGAGATACTACTCTCCCAGGAAAGAGAGCTGCTGTCCATTCAGAAAACAGACAATAATGATGTGTTTTCACTCTGCTGTGTCTGCTGTACTCACCCGTCAGGTCGAGCACCAGAGGGTGAGGGGCCGTTTCACACTTCAGAGTCATCCCTATCACCTGCACGTTGGGGGCCGAGGGGTCTGAGAGCGAGACAAGTATCCAACATTATGATCATACAGAGACATTCACATTGTTTTAAAATAGAAGTATTTTGCTCACTTCACCCTTCTTTGAGTTGTGTTGCTTTCAAACATTGAATAGGTAATGCCAGTTTCATAAATATAGTAAATAACACACAAGGGACAATTTAGAATAGTTTTAAATATGTGAACACATTATATCTGTACATTCGCTTCTAGCAACAAAACACTTAAGTTCTTTCCTCCTCTCAGCCTTGTCCTTACTCTCCCACTGCTACAATCATAGTAACAGTTGAACAGTGGAGGTGAAAAGACATTCCTGTAACTAAATACACTTTTTGCAACTCTGAAACCTTCTGAAATACTAATCTAGAAAAATGTTCAAATTCACTCATTTTATAGTGTTTTATTTCTTATTAAAAGGATAATCTACTCAATCCAAAAGCTAATTTAGCAAGATACCGATACAGAGTAACCACATACAGTAGTTGATCCACAACTACACCGAACATCATGTTGTATGAAGAAAGTAAGACCAATTTGGAGTGGGTTTTCTTTTGGTTTAACAACAGCCACAGTACTCAAACGAATGAACCTTGAACACATGTCTGTCTGAATAAAAGTACTCTACTCTAAAAGCAGCCAGAAGTTAAGTCAATGATTAGTTTTGATCCACCTTCTCTAAGTGACACAATACCACAAACAAACCAACCACGGGAGGCAGCGGTAAACCAGCCACCCACGTGAGGTAGTAATACACCGACTAATGGATAAGTGCTTCATAAATCCCCCCTTCAAACAATCTAAACTATCCCTTCTACAGTTTCCTATCCTCAGGTTAGCAGGGTTGTTGTCACAACAAATAATGGAGGTTGGATTCCCCGCACTATTGGTACTGCAAACACACAGAAGCAGCTGCTGTGGAGAGTTTTCTGGATACACTTAACACAGCTTTGAAGACAAATGCTACCATAAATGCACATTTTCAAGTTTGCCTCAGGTGGCTGTATCGGGGGAAACAACTGAATTGTGCATATTGATAAGTAACATTCGCAAATAAGAATAAAAATACATTATATTTGAATGCGCCAGATATAATAAAAAACTGCCAAATGTGATGAAAAGACAAGCAGGGCAAACATCACATATTTAGACCTACTCGGGGGTTTGTCTAGAAACATTTAGTATGAGGCATAGGTATGAGGGCACTAGCGGTCAAAATTACGGCCCCGGCACTTTCCTGCGAAAATAACGCATTAGAGCGAAGGGGAAAACAAAAGTTTCTTCATGCCTGCTGCTGAATTAATACTTAATAAATGTTGACAATAAACTTTTGTTTGATCTGTCATTTTTTATATATTAGATATTACACCTACTCTCATGTAACAATTGTTTTATTTATTGTATTGCTTGTATGAGCAACACACACCAACTGGAAAAACTAGATTGAATATACTTGTCTTCTCTATAGCACTTACCACCTCTTGCTCTTGCCCTGCACTTGTACTGTATGTGCCAGTTGAGCTGGTTCTTCCACCAGCTCAACTCTCTGTCCCTCACGATGAACGCAGGCTGGCTGTATATCTGAACTCAGACTCGCGCCTTCATCATTCTCTTCATCATCTTGCACTTCTACAGTAAGCTGCCAAAAAGGTCTGTCAATTTGCGACATTTAGATGCTTCACCTGCGAGTGACTTCACCTTTTTTCCTCGTGCCTTATCGGCCCCACCCTTTTCTTTTTCTTTTATTTGTATCCATGTTTTTTCATTCTACCTGTCTGCCGTCTAATCCCTTCTCTTCGTATGATACTATGGCGCTGCACCAATGTTTCAGCTCTCTGACCGGTCTTTTTTCTTCTTCGTGTGATAAGAACCACACAACTGCATTAGCGGCCGCTATCGCCCTCTGTCGGCCGTCAGCGCAACTTAAAAGATGACTTTAAACCATTTTTTTTTTTTAAAGGGCTGGCCGTCAACGACCCTCGACGACCGGCCGTTCTGCGGTTCTCCAGATTCTACCGATGGCCAGTCCCGGTTTAGACAAAACCCTGCTACTTATGTTTAGGAAGGATAGATCTGTTGTCAGTCCACATATTTATTTATAAATTATGAAAACACGCAGTCCTTTTTTTCCACTGTACAGTAATACATTTTACCTTCTGTTTTTAATCTTATCTTACTCCAATCAAAATGTATATAGTTGACTTATTTCTGCATCTTACTTGTCCATTCTCTTACACAATCTTATTTCCATTTATTCTTAGTCTTGAGTATTAAGTGTATTGTGTGTTGCTGTGTAGGAGGAGCCTGGGTCTTAAGATGTTCATTGCCAAAACTACACGGTAGCTTTTGTGCATATGACAATCGAGCCTTTGGATTTGATTTGGACATCGATCACTAACCTGCCACACAGGCCACGTTGCCCAGCAGGGTCTCCTTGTACTTGCGCAGGCTCTCGTCATCCTGGTCCAGCTCCTGGATCTCCTGTAGGCTCTTGGCGGCGGGGGGTTTGTAGTTGAGAGGGTTCTCCGGCTCGTCATTGGCTGCTGCAAGCGCCTCCAGCTGCTCGGGTGTGGGTTCCTGCTCTGCCATGGTGTGCTAGAGTTAAAAAAAGTGACACAAAAAGGTTAGAGGACAAGAAACAAACCGCTCTGTCGACACAGTGTGACACATTTAAAGATGACATTCCACAGACCTTGCAGTGAATAGCTCAGAGCACAGATAACGGGCTCACTTGAGGACAGGGACAGTGAAACACTCTCTCTGTGGGGACCATTCAATTCTTGGCAAAAGGCGAGGAATTTTAGAAGGTTTTTTTGTGTGTATTCTTAGACTATCAGACGCTAGAAGAGACTAGAGTCAGGACATCTGGCTGTGGAGCAGTTTTCTCTGGGGCCACGGCGGCGACACAGAGCAGAGGTCAGGGGTCAACAAGAAGCTGATGATTATCTGAGAGAAACAGCAGTGCCTTAAACACCCAGCTGCACTGGCACACAGTCACTGCCGATTAGAAGGGAGGACGCTGAGTCTGAGCAGGGAACGGCATGATGACAGTGAGATCGTCTTCATTCCTCAGAGAACATACAAGTGCCGTAGTTGCTCATAAAATGCAATGCGAGGAGAACAAAGTAGTTATTTATGAATTACACCTGGTGCACATATGCTGATCAACACCTGGTGCTTTTCACAGAGCGTGTTCTGTGTGGTCTGTTCTTCCTAAACAACTGACGTCACACACACACACACACAACACATATCAGCCGACTGCTGTTTGAGAGGTTTTCATAGCAGCTTGTTAAATGCAAAGTATGTGCTGATATCCTGATTTACACAGAAAGCAACACGTTCATAAATGTGTATTTAGGAGAACTGATACTACTCAGTAATACCAAATATAGCTAACTGTTTGTTCAGTAATAGTTCAATCATTTAAAGCTGCCATTTTGTGTTGTTTATTATTATTTGTATTTCCATCAGCCAACCTGAAACTACACCCTGATATTTCTCGTTCTAGATGTTTTCGACATTTGCATGTTGAAAGAACTGAACTTCCTGTATTTGAGTGACTTCAACCGTGCAGGAACCAAAGCTGTCAAACTGTTGAAGAGGATTTATGGCTTTGATAAAGTCAAACTGTGCCCTTAAGCTGTGTTCAAAAAGCTAAATCAGACCCAAACAGATTATGCTTTAATTTCAATGATCAGAACAAATCTGTGTACAGAAGAAAACAACTACGAGAACGTTAAACAGGAAGACCTGAGGCAATACACAAACTGCTTCTCCATTTAAGCCTGATCAAATTCCTTCTTTGTGTAGATAATCCCTTAATGTGTGTTGGCTCAGTGCTAACCTGAGTTTAAAGGTCATCATGAATCAACACAGGCGAGCTAACAAATCAAACCAAGGCAAACACAAGCGTCACAGGCTGGGTCCTCTGAGTAAAAGCCTAACGCACTATTTACAACCCAAGGAAATATAACAATCACACAATGGCAGACACTCCGCACAAAAACTGGTTTGTCGTTCTGCGTGTTCATCCATCACTCTGCTGTATTGTGTCGGGAATATAAAGTTGGGTATAGGCCAAGCAGGAAGTGAGAACGCGGCACCTTTTTTTTTCCAAATGGGGCCTCAGTGCTCCAATAAAAAAACACTCATTCCTTCCCTGCCAATAACTGCTCAGCTGTGAGTGAGGCTCCTTGTTGCACAGAGGGAGAAAGACAGGAAAATAAGAGCAGATACCGCAGCGATGATGTTAGATCCCTCTTCGACGAGCAGGTTGTTTGTCTCACTTCCTGTACTCTCCTACAGTATGTTGCACTCAGACTGAGGTCTACCAAGCTGTCAGCGGAGGAAGTGATGGGTCATTCTAGTTGTATAAGAAAAAGGGCTGTACTATAGGAGGCTTCTGCCGAGGATAAATTAAATAACCAATTCATCATTTATTAAAATAGTTTTTAGTTTTGGCTGGTTCATAGTCCTATGTATTTTTTTTTACTTTTTAAAATGTCAAAGTGGAACAGCTCTTAATGTTAACATTTCAAAAAGGTTTCTCCAAAAAGACATGTTATTTCTGAAGCAAAATGTAAAATACTAGTACAGTCCCAGTATCATTTTTAGATTTCAATGATTGTCTTGTTACTATTATAGAAAGAAATCGAGGCAAGATCGGGTTACGGTGACTGAGCGGTTTTAAGATCCCCACAAATATTAAAGAAGCAGGAAAACAAAACTATACCCTATAGAGTGTTTCCCACATATCTCAAATATACTTGCGGTAGTGGAGCTAGGGCTGCTCAATTAATCGTATTTTAAATCGCAATTACGATTATGGCTTGCAACGATTACAAAAACAACGTAATCGAAATAAAACGATTTTTTTTTTTATTATACATTTTTTTAATTATTGGTTTTTCCGTTGAATTATATTTAAAGTTCAGGGTAATCAACTGTTAAACACATACTGTTCAAACATTTTTTTTCTCCAATAAATTGATGTTTTCAAAGTAAATGGCTAATCGTTTTTAATAATTGTGATATCAATTATTGACCCAAATAATCGAGATTAAGATTTTCGCCATAATCGAGCAGCCCTAAATGGAGCCTCGCAGCAGAGTTACTGCGGAGTGCGATAGCAGAGCGCTCAGGTACAGGGGGGTCAGGAGGTACAGGGGGGGGGGGGGGGGGGTTAGTTAATCGATCGCAGATGGCATCGTGCTCGCGGACGGAAAAAATAAAGATGAAACCTAAATGGGTCGCGAAATATACTTTGGCGGCCGTTAATAGACCTGGGCGGCCCGCCCCCGTAAAGTCTATGTGTGGGAAACCCTACCCTATACATTGCAGATCTACATTTTATGGAATAATTTCGGATTGCTATCATTTTGTTCATTCAAACTGCATGATGGTCCTTTTTACACCGTCAACACAGAGTTACCAAAAAACCACAAAGACATTATCAGTGAATTGAGTCATGTTTGCCAACACATTGCTCAGAGATGCTATCTTAATAGAGCATAACATTTTTCCTTAAAATGATTGCCCATGCACTGAGTCAAATGGATTAGGTTCAAACATGGCTGACCCTGTGTCTAACAGGCTACTTAAGAAAGGCGCTGTCATGCTTCAGCCTGCTGTGAGACACAGGTCAAAATATCACGTACTCAGTGCACCTCAGAGTCCTAACCTACACACACAGGCCTGCATGCAGTGAAGGAGGATAATCTGTTACTTCGTCAAAGCTAAGCAGCACCGTTTGAAAAACACACCGGGTTTGGCAGCAATTGAAGACTTCAGATTAGGTCTGTTCCTTAGCAACACCGCGGAGCAGTGAGATTAAGTGGGATTACAGCTAACGAGGCATTCAGGGAAAGGAGATGAAAGTGTTCGGAGGTGCCACTGGTGGTGACACATCAGGAGGATGCTCTTTGACAGGAGAGCCATTAGTGTCCAATGCTACTGAAGATAGTAGATAAACAAGCTCAGTGGAAACCAGGAAATCCCACCGGGATCATACGGCATGAGTGAGTGAGTGAGTGAGTGTGTGTGTGTGTGTGCAGAGGCTTTACTGCCATGTAAAGACCGTTTTAAAAAGAGCCTTCATTAAGATTTTGGAATTTAAAGTAAAATGATCTTTAATAAATGGAATAAGTAAAAATAATGAAAATATTATAATAAAAAAAAAAGCTGCACGCCAAAGTTCATTTAGAATTTGATTATTTAGGTTATGAACAACAAGTTATTCAGTACAACTGTTACATTACATTTTATTACATATTTCCTAACTTATGGTTCTTCACAGAGGAACGCTTTGAAGTGTGGGCATGGTAGAGCCACCTTTACTGATCATGTGAAAGGTGGAAGTCTTACAGCTGAAAATGCATACTATGAAGTACTGTCCCTAAGAACACATCAGGAATTCATCTCAGAGACAACAAGATAGGAATATTCACTTTATATCAAGTGACTCTGAATAACAACCTTTGTAAAAGTGACCTTTAGCTCTTGGCTCCCCTCCCAATTGAAGATGTCACCGACAGATCTATGGCTGCTTTGATCTCTGTTTGTCTCTTTCATGCAACACCCAGTCTGCAGGAGACCTTAGCATTCACCCCTTAACCACACTATTCCCCTTTAAGCTAACAAGTACAGACGAAACACTTCTTTCAAGTTTTAAGCTCAACTGCAAATTGAAATGTTGAAATGAGTGCATCCTTCTGCAACACGTTTCCTGTTCAAAAACATTTAGCATGAATACAATTGAATAGAATATAATGCATCAGCGTTCTCTTGTAATTAAACTTATTTAAAGAGCAGCGCTTGTAGACATGTCTTTAATGTATTGCCTGTCCATTAAGATTTCAAAGTTCATAAAGTGGAGCTGTAATAGCACTATTTAGTGGAAATAATTCAATACACGTCTTCACCAATACATATGAACCCTTATTACCAAAGTTGTTCTTGTGGATACTGTTATGGCTTTACACTTAATGATATAGTGACAATTATTATCTGTAGCTTTTTAGTTAGAAAGAAATCTTCCTTGCATGTCAGACTGCCACTAGGCCTCTCAAGAAGCCACTGTTAACTTCCTTTTTCCGGGCGAGATGATTCATATCCTCTTGCACGATAAACCACACAGTGCAAATCTGAAGCACAGATCATCTTCTTATATTGAGCTTTCTCCAACTTAAGTTGTTGTTCAAAAAGTGGTGCAATGATAATAATGCAAAGGGCTCTTGTAGATCATGCTGGGTCATACCAAATTGAAGACGTGGAGCCAGTCGAGCAAAAGCTTTGAGGAAGTGTTGCACTAAGAGCTGATGCAATGCAGAGGAAGCCAGAAACAACAGAAATAGGTGGGGTAAGAGTAAAACAGCTAAACATTAGATAAGCTACAGAATAGCCAACTTGTAACAAGCTTATGATACAAAAAAAGGTTAGCCAAAGAGTCATTGAACAAAGATAACAGTGAAGTGGGTGTCCATAGCAGAAATTCAGTAAAGAGGAGTAATCTGATTACAAAGAAATGAGCCACAGAGAGAAGCGGCTGAAAGAAACAAAACATTACTCCATCCCAGGAAGAACATGAACAAATAGGAAGCTTTAAAAATAGCCGGTGAGAAATCCCTGCCGGCACTAGCAGGAAGCTGCCAGTGAATGGGATAGCCAAGGTGCCAGCGGAAAGGTCAGGGCTTATTCCCAGATTCGGGTCTGCCTCCCAGGGCAACCGCCGAGGAGGGGGTGACGTACCCTCCACAATGAAGGAATACAGCTGTATAATGGCTCCCTTCAAGGATGGCAACAGCCTGATACAGGTGGTTTTAAAGCATCCTAATTCAACCATTTGAGTGCTTGAAAGGCAGGTGAAAAATAAAAGATGTATGAGCTTTATAAGTACTACTTAGGAGGACCACACAATGCGAGAAATAAGTGGTCTGTGTAGAGGAGGGGGGCCGGCTAGCATCCCTGCACATATTCCCCTGTGACACTGAGCTAAAACAGAAGAGGCCACTGACCGGATCTCCATGGTCAGCTTAGAAAGGTCCGTTCACAAGCCGGCGTAGGAAAAAATGCATTTAGAAAATACTTAACTCTGTTTTGGTCCCCACAATACTACATTAATGGATAAAACAAATACATTGTAGCCTTAGAACCAGTATCCAGGTGAGTATTTGTCACGTAAGCACGAAAAAAAGGGTTCACATAGCTTCCCTATCTAAATATGAGCGAATAGTGATTTATTATGCAACATTTTTAAGTTCAGGCCTGTGTTTTTTTTACCCTTGCACTTGTTACTGTGAGCTGCTTGGACACGTATGAAGCATATTTCCCATTACATAAAAAAAATCAGGGAAGTATCTTCAAAGAAAAAGCTACGTGATTAATGTTTAGAAGTTCCCATCAGCAAAAACACGTTGGTTTGCTATCCTGGCTCCAAAATGGTGGAATGAGCTCCCCATTGAAATCAGGACAGCAGAAAGCTTACACATCTTCCGGCGCAGACTGAAAACTCATCTCTTTCGACTCCACTTCGAGCGATATAATTACTAACAAAGCACTTATATACTAATAAAGGACTGGCTTATCTAAAGCCAGTTGAGTAGCACTTGAAATGTTTTGGCTCTATGAAACCTGATGTACTTATATGATTCTGTTTTCTTCAAGTTTGTATCTTCTTGATCGAATTAACTTATTGTAAGTTGCTTTGGATAAAAGTGTCAGCTAAATGCAATGTAAACGTTATTTTAAAGCTACCTAAGTTGGGCCCACTCAGGATGAACCAGGCTAAACCATCAACATATAAACTGCAACATTAGAACCTGTGCCCTCTGCAAGGCTTCAAATTATCAGGTTGAGACAAAGCAACCGAACAAGCAGGACAGGGTAAGTGTTACCCAAATTCCATAAAAGGAGAGAACATATAGCCTCCAGGCCATTATCCCCCACACAGGAAGGAAAAGGAGTCTGATCTATTTGAGAAATCACTTATCAGCCATTCAGCTGAGCACACAGCTTTACTATCACACAACAGTACATAAAGGGGACAGCCACTTGAAGTGTATTTGATTTAATCTGATGTTATCTAAGTGCACTTAACTATGAAAGCCTTTAAAAAGTCAAAATGGTGGCTGGTTCAAGGTGTGTTAGCCCTTCAAGTCAATTCAAATTAGGAGAGTTTAGTAGCAGGAAGTGGCAGAAAAAGTTCCTCATGAGCCACATGACAGTCGAGTCACTCACGTATTTTAAAAAGGAGACTAAATTACCACTTCTGAATAGACTTTTTATTCACTGTTCATTGCACCCCCTCATTAACGGAGTTATTGTGCAGAATTAAATCCGATGGATGGTCGTTACCTAACGGCCAACTCAGATCAGGTTCAACACCCGGAAACGAACAACTACAACGGAATAACTCATGCCTTTACAAATAATTAAATGCCTAGAGTTTGACACACTAACAATACCACTGAAATAAAAATACATGTAGATTAAAAAGCCTCGATTGCAGGAAGAAGTTATTTGATACATTCCTCCTTCATTGGGGTAACGTTAAATTGCTACATCCTTAGTAAGTGCCGCAAAACTTGGAAAGTAGTCCAAAGCCCCTAGGAAAAACATGCCTAACGTCCAGAGAGTTATTAAGTCACCCACAATTAGATTTTTGTAAGGAGTTAAGAAAGTGTTTGGTCCACTCTTACCGTTATACCGCCGGTAGGTCTGTCTCCTGAATGCTGCTGAGAGGGAGCGGAGTGAAGCGGCGGAGAAAACCTGCGCCAAAGGCCGCTGACGGGAGACACTACAACCGGTTTACTCCCTTCAAAATAAAAGCTGTTTCACAATCTCTTTTAAGGCAGTGTCAGTATAAAATAATTCAAATGCTTTGTTGTCATATGCACAGTAGCTACAGACAGTGTAGATATGGGCATATGGCAATGAAAAACTCAAGTCCCCAGCTCCTCCAACAATGCAACATAATATTGGACATAAAACAATAAAACAAAAATAAATTGTGCAAGAAACAAAATAGAATAAATTAGATTAAAATGATAATGTTGCGAGACCAATGTGCAAGTAATGCAGATTAAGTTAACTATATAAATATCAAAACAATTAATAAATACAATGAGCTAAATAATGCAGAGAATGTTTTAAGTTACCAACTAATGTAGATGTTTCCAAATGTTTGCATCTTTTGCATTATTTAATGAACATGTTCTTTTCAATCGATCAATCAATCAATCAATCAATCAATCAATCAACTTTTATTTATATAGCCCAATATCACAAATGTTATATTTATTTCAGTGGAATTTACAGTTTGTACAATCTTTTCGGATGTTTGCTTATGCAACAAGCTATTTAAGATAAACAAATTGATTATTTTATCAGAATTGTTTTAGTTATCAAGCCAAAGACCCCTTTTTACTCTTACAAAGATGTTGAACCGTACACATATTTCATGTAGGCCTACAGGCCAATAAACTGGGCATATTTTGCTCTAACATTTTTGTGAATATACAATTAGGCCTACAATATGTATTTGTAAAATAAAAAATACGTATTTGTTTTGTTTTCCAGGAACAAAAAAGACAAGATAAGCCACTGGCTTTAATGATGAAAACCAAACCGGAAACAGTATTTGTTAAATTGAGACTTTTCAGTTTTTCAAAACGCTTCCGGGAAATATTGTCCCGACGACACTCGTGGGCATGCAGCGCTGTGCTGCATTCAGACATGTAACACTTTGTTCACTCCCAGTTTATGCCTCCCTGCTTAAACGGCATCCTCTCGTAGCCTCCCTTCAAGCCAATGAAACAGTTATTCATCCAGGAGGCAGTAATCGCATTGATTTCGTATTAAGGAAACTTCAAAAAACCTGTAGGCTCCATAACTTTGACTCAACTGTAGACAGCATTTGGATACAGAGCGACATCTAGTGGCTGTTTTGTGGAAATATTTTTGCAGCAGTGAGTATTTTTGTAATAAATGCTCAGGCTGCCCAGCTATATGACAGTTCCCCTTCTAGCCAATGTACGAATGTTACCTCTGGAATTTTCCCAACTTTTCCATTGGTCTAGCTAGCAACTAAAATGTGTCTTCAAAGGGCTTTTCTGAAGTGGTTTCTATGATAGCTTTGTGGATGAATTACATGGGTTATTTCCGAATTTCAGTCATTCTATTTCTTCAAGAAAAAGCTGCAAGTGTATTGATTTGAATAAAATGTCAAGTCATTAGTGTGCTGCAAATGTCTTGCAAAAACATTACCAAAACGGAATTGCAGCATACACACTAAATTGGCTTATTCCATATATATTGGAATAAGCCAATCAAATTTGAAAGACTGGCTAAGAGAATCCAAAGCTTAAAATTATGCACCTTGATATAATTGGAAATCACTTGACTTTTACTAATTCAGGCTTCATTGTTGGAATACAAGGTACTAGAGTACATGGACAAATGGCCACAAGAACTTTGAAACGGAGACAGAATTTGGTTAATATGCACTGTAGGTTTTATTACAAGTGTCATTAACTGCAGGGTAGAGAAAAAAAAACTGGGAGAACCCAATCCACATGAACCTACAGACAGAACCATTTTTCATCAGAAAAAAAAAGAAATACTGGTAAAAAACACGGAGCATTTAAAAGAGGAAGTTGGAACAATAATTTTCAATCACACCAGAAACAACCATGTGTAAAATAATCTGCACATTTGTAACAACCACCCTTCTGTGCAGAGGGGAAGGGACAACAATCCATAGGAGTCATATTGCTTAGCTGGTGTCCATCTGAGAAAACAAAAAGGAGGATAATTAGACAGCTGCAAGATGCAATTTGTTGGCAGGTATATTGTTTGACAGCTGAACGTACCCTGGCATTGTAGGCGTCTAACTGGGCGTCAAGCTCCTCTGCTGACAGCTGCTGCTTGGCAGTACCTCCGCGTCCCCCCCGACCTCTTCCTCCACCGCCAGCACCACGTCCGCCTCGGCCTCTCTGCACACCTCTGAAGCCAGCTCCACGATTTCTGTTCATGCCACCTCCACCACCTCTGTTCAGACTGAAAACGAGAGAGCCCATTAAACATCCTGTCCGCAATGTTTGAGTGTTGCTTGCAAAAACCTGCCTACACTTACCCCTGCATAGGCCGCCTCTGTTGGTCAATCTGTGATGTGACGAGCTGTATGTTCATAGGCCGCCCTAGAGAGCCAAAGAAGACATGAAGGTCACAATTTAGGCAGGGAAGTAGTATTGAATTATTCACGTAATCTGCCAGCCAGATAATGTTCCTCAATATATTTTGTATGTTTTGAGGCATACCGTCAAGTGGGATGCCGTTGTACTGTTTCATGGCCTTCAGGGCATCTGCTCTCCTTTCAAAGTGGACATCTGCGGTTCCCAGGCTTCTTCCCGATCTGTCGTAATGAACTGCTGCCTTTTTTAGGGTCCCAAATTCAGCAAAGAGTTCCTGAAACAAATAAAATAAGAGTCATTGATTAGCAATTCCTTTACCCCACTTTGTAATGAACTCCAAATGGCAACCATGCTTCATTAAAGTACCTGAATGTCTGCATCCGACACGCCAAAGTCGAGATTGGAGACTAGGAGCTTCCCCCCGGTTTCAACGCCGCCTCCTCCGCCACCTCCAGCGGGGCCGCTGAAGCCACTGAAGCCGTTGTCATACATGTCGTGCTGCCACTTTTCCGGAAGCTGTTTTGGCTGCAACAGATGAAAGAGAACGAACCTGCTGACTTCAGGATCCCCTTGCCTCTGTCAATCACAGAGTCCACACGGCTGGGTGTTGGGGCAAGCATGGGCTCCACTTCCAACATGGCCAGGGTGCTCAGTTCCCAAGAGGATCCCCAAAATGTTCCCTACCCACCCCATCACAACAAGCAAGTGCATCCAGTATTGACAGGAAGACATATATAGGACAAACAACTTATATGATACTACAGGTATACAATTTAAACAGTTTTAGTGATGTTTCTGAGAAAAAACAAAATGTACTCAATGACTACGCCAAAATTGAGCAATACTTGTCATCCCAAACACTTTACTAACAGTATCTTGCCCACCCCGGCTATCTACCAACATTGCCCATTGTTCTTGCCATCTGTGCCTCCACCAAATGATCTCCAGACAAGATCCTCGGGTACAAAGGGGGTTGCCATCTGAAGCAGTGTTGCCTCCAGCGCTGATCCGTGTTTCCTGGATCGCCCAAAAGTTCTCTACCAAGCCACGAAAAGGGCTTTCATGAAGGGTAATTGTCCATAAGATGAGTGGATGAGGAAAAACAACTAAATACAGGCCAGCTATGTGAGCGTGGATTATCTGAGCGTCCATTTTGAGACCACGCCATTTTGATTGGGGCTTTGCTAGGCATGTCTAAATACTCATTCACACTTAAGGAGTGGACGTTTGCCTAATGTGAACACTAAAAGGGGGGGTTGAAGTCCACTGATCCATCCACAACAGCAGCCACCCTGGTTGAAAGCCACCAAATAGGCCTTGTTGTGAAAGCAGCCGCTCCCGAACAAAAGGCCGCCTGTCGCTGCACTGGGAAAAGAGAAAAACTATGCTCCCAAAGTGGTGGAAAAATCATGTGGGTGGATTTTCTCGATGAAGTAGTTTCCTTTTAGCATCATTGTGACACTTGGTGTGGAAAGCCGTTATTGACCGTTGACTATCTTTAATTAAGGTGCCGGATTCAAAATGGCGTTGTCGAGGCCTTCACGATCCAACTTTAGCTAGTTAGCCGATAGCCGCTCTCTCCAATGGGACTTTTCTTGAAAAATGACGTAACACATATAAGTTGTGGGAGAAGGGACACACTATGTATACAACTTCCAATTAAGCTTAACCGCAAACAACTGAGCTCCGTCGAAGGGAGCTCGGCGGTTATGGCGAACATTGTGTTCGCTTGGCTAGCAAGCTGGCTATGGGGTTAGCTAGCAAGCCTATCGAAGAACAGAAGTTAACCAGGCATTTTCAGGATTGCCGAAGGTTTCTCCTTTTTTGCCCATTCCGCTAATTTTCTCATACCCTGTTGTAAGGCGTTGGTCTGCCTCTAGCACGACTCAGGTTCTGTCGACTCCTCGTGGGTCCGGGTCCGCCGCCTCGGCCTGCAAACGCTCCTCCGCCGCCGCCGCCTCCTCCTCCTCCTCCAAGCCGCCCAGGGCCTGCTGCCCCTCGGCCGCCGCCTGAGCCTCCTCGGCCTCGGCCTCTTCCACCCCGGCCTCCACCTCTCTGCTGCCTGTTCTGCTTGATAATGTCGTCTAATGACATATCCATTTTATCAGCCATTATGCTGCCCCAATAAAGCTAAACTGTTAACGAAATATAAAAAATACGCCCTAGACTGGATTGGTAAGTCTCCTTGTTCCTTCACAGCTCAACTGTCTCTGATAAGAAAACAAAGCACTGGCGTTGGTCTGTTTATAGAGGGGCTGGCGCAGTACGTCCTGCACGTAAAGACAACGTCATCACGTAAAACACGTGACCAAGACAGCCGCATAACAGCTTTCTAAAAGGTACTGTTTAATTAGCATTAATCAACATGAATGACTGGAGATAGATTTCGTTTTTCTTTACAGATTCAAATCAGAGCTCGAACTATTTTTCGAGTAATTGATTAGTTGATAGACAGTTAATCAATTTACAACCACTTTGATCATCAATTTAAAAAAATAAATAATTTTAAAGATAACAATGACAACATTTTTCTGAATCCGGCCTCTTGAATATGTTATGGTTTTATTAGCCTTATATGACTTAGACAACTAAGATATATTTGGTTCTAAGAAATGGTTTACTATTTTCTATTACTAAATGATTGAACAAGAAAATAAGTGATCATTGGCAGCCTTTGGCAGGCATCAGTATATCCAGGATTTGGCACAATTGATTCTCCCAATCTACTGGCATTATGATATTCCTCCCAGTATAAGATTCAGGGTATGTTTCACTTAGTTTCCTTTTTTCATTGTAAATATTTATGTAACACAAGCAGGAGTACTGTAAAAGTCCTTTATTCAACATTTTGTTTCAAGGCTTAGGGGAGGGGGGTTCAACCAAGGGCAGCATACTTGGGGAGGTCTCTACTTAGTAAAGTCCATTTGGGGGAAAGAACATTTATAATAAAAACGTTGGCCTTCTACATTGCATTTGGCTTCCAAAACTTGCCCACAAATGGTATATCCAATGTGACCATTTGACCACTTCTACAATTTACTGAACTATCTTCCAAAACGAAAAAAGAAAAAAAAGAAAAGAAGTCAGCCCTTTTGTATTTTTCCTCCAAAGTCGTATAAGTAGCAGTATTAAAGAAAACAAGGTTTTGTATTTAAGACTGCAGTCATTTGTGTCCTGTGGAGAATGTCGACAGTTTGCACCTCAGCATCAGATGTCAGCAGATTTTGATAAAAGTTTGCATCAGTCCCATCCACATAAAGAATGTACATATCAAGATTTTGTCACTTGAAAAAAAACACGAACCGAGAGGCGAAATAATTTGTGCTCCCTGGAAACCGGTTCTTTTCTTCGTGGTCAGGTGTAGCGGGCAAAGAAAAAGACAGGGGCTGCTGTGGTCCAGAGTTGAGAGATGAGATTGGCATTCTGTGCTAGACTGGCCAACAGGGCTGACTTTCTGGCTGATGGAGGAAAAGTTCTCGAGGAAAATGGGTGGAAAGAAGTGACTGGACCGCCATGGAAAAGACTAGGACTTCTTGGAGTCCTGTGTGTTACGTTTCTTAAGGTCGCTCAGGTCCACTGGCGTGAAAGCTGCAAGAGCAGACAGAAACAAATTGTTAACTGGCCTGTGCCTGAGTAATGTTATCCTTTATTAAAATACATTTCACGTCACTACTAAGTTACACTGTTACTGATGGGAAAATACTGAATGAGCTCATTCAAAGATACAGAAGTGCGCGTGTGAACTGAGGTCCAGGCCAATGACAATGTATATGAACAGATGTTAACCCTCAATGGAGATAAGCGTGATACGCTGTTACAGGCATGTGATAACTATGTGACAATGTTTAGCCTCTGGGGAGATAAGCATGAGACAAGCATGATCATCACTGACGTGGGCCTGAGCTATCTTGGACAAAGCATAGAAAACTGCTTTAAACCAGTATTCTTCAACCTTGGGTCTGTAAAACTCCCTCTCTAGTATATAAGTGAGTGATAGAAGCTGTTCGGGGAACTAGTTGAACATATGTATGTATGTATTTAACTATTTTTTCCATTCTTGCAAGAAATAAAGTGTAACCTGATTATTGATTCCCAAGCCGGTGCCTATTGAGATGTTTTCTAAAAGTTACTTACAATGTAGGTTAGGGTTTGGGTTCTTTTCCACATACTCCTGTGGTCCACGGTCATTACGTTCGCTATTTTGTGTTGATCTGATGTCTCGGAGCACACACTGCCAGGCTGTGAAGGAGTAGAGTCAACAATACATTTAGGAAATGTTACCCTACCCTGCAGAATTGTAAGTAATGACATGATAAGAAAGACTAAAGGTTAATAAGATGTTGGACTGAATAGAAGATTATGTAATTATGTATGTGATTTGTAACAACTCATTCTAAGAGTGCCTAAATGTCAGTTCTAAGAGTGGGCAAATTAAAATTGGCTAATTTAGGCACTAGTTCTACTTTTTATAATGATTGTTGAAGTGACCAGCAATTGAAAAGCAATCTGATGAATGGTCTCTGGGTATAAACACTACCCTGTCCAAGCACTTAGACCAACCTGTTTTCCTGTGAGTGCATCACTTTTTTATATCTTGGGCATGTGCATGAGGTCTGGGAAGCAAGCGTGCACATACATACAACATCATTTTATAATATTCAACTAATCCATATATTATTTTCAATGGATTTCAAGGATATATACAATGGGATTTTACTGGTTCTTACCAAATGTAATTGGCGTGACACAATCAAAACAGTAATGAGATTTGGTAGAGAACACGAGAAAACTCTACAGGGAACCTTTGAAATCCACACATCAAAAAAGGTGTGGTTCTTTCTGCATCGCAAACAATTGAAATACATTAATCAAGGCGTATCAGTATCAGTGTTGAGGATGAGAGGGGGTTAGGGTTGTGGCCTCCTGCATTGATGAGGGAAAGCGTTTGTTGTAATGCCATTGGTATTTATTGTGTCCGCTCGTTCCATTGGACACATAACCTGTTTTGAAAAATGCTGACGTTGTTCTTATGGACTTCAGTTTACCTGCTAATTCTTATGAAAGTGTTTACATGTGAGATGAACACAATGATAAGGAGTGTGTGGCAACCTGGGTTGACCATCACTACACACAGAATCTAAACACACATTATAGTTAGATTGCTTCAACGGGCCTTTATTGAGCTCTTTACACATTGCATTAGTTTACTTATTAGTTGTGATAGATCTAATATTCAGTTACTTATTCAAATAAATTATTATACGTCAATGTAAGAATGCATGCAGTCAGCATGTCGTTGTGTCCCTGGGCAAGACACTTCACCCCAAATTGTTCCTGTGGGGATTGTCCACAGTACTGAATGTATGTAAGTCACTTTGGATAAAAGTGTCTAACAAGTGAAATTTAATGTAAGAATGCACACTTACTATCATGTATAAAGCGCACGTTTTCCTCATGTGCTGGGGTGAAAAGCTCCCCAGTGTTAGTAGGGGATCGGGGGCTCGAGGTCCGCTTGTAACTATTCACCATCCTGGGAGCAGATGAGCTTCACAAATATACAACAAATTAAAATATCAGTATTAATAAATCAAATGAGTCTTTAATTGTTTAACTCTGTGTTGTTAAATTAAACGTCAGTATAATTTACTTCCGTATCTCAAATCTGAAGCACAAAATATACCCACATTTACATTTTAATACATTTAAATGACCACTATCAATACTGGTCTATTTGTATCTGAGCACTATAACACACCTGGTCATTCTGTTTGCAGCCTGTACTCGCTCCACGCTCCTCTATGGTGAGTGGATTTGAAGAATAAAAGATCAGAAGTCTGCAGCTGAGATCTAAAAACAGTTTCAAGTATTACATCTCCACATGAGGGTCAGAAAACAACAAATACCTGCTTTATTGCATAGGAAACAAAGATGACATGATTACGGTCTATACGCTTGTTAACAGAATATATGATATCACAGCATTTTGGCCATGTTGGTATGATTGAACTCCTTATTTTTATTCCTACTCATACAGAAAAAAATCTTTACAATTTGTGCCGTAAAGCGTGAAACATGATTCCTCAGAATGTAGCAGGGGCTACTTCATTTACCTCCCCCAACAAAGTATATTTTGCATGATTATACAGCTGACTCGTGATTATTACTGAAAATATATTGTGTTATAATTGTGTTGTATCGTTAAAAAGTCTCTGTGTGAAGGATTCATATCATTTACCACAATGTATAAACACAGGTCTGTATTTAAATAAAGACCTAAAAAGTATTATTAACAGTACAGTGACACTGCTGGTTAGTCAACAGATGCATCTTCAGGCTACCTACTACTCACAACCAATACATATAATCTAAAGAGATCTGATAAGTAATATTAGTAACCATGTGAATTGTGTCAAAGTTTTTAACGTGAACTCATGTTTATATAGACATGGTTTGCTGTGTGTCTGTAAATCAACAATATGGACGTGAGCAAAGCAAGCGGCTTTTGTTTACGTTTTCACTTATGTTGTGTTAGCATCAGGATGAAAAGCCAAACCCAACACATTAACCGCTGCTCCAATTATTGTGAGCAAGAATGTTTTACGTCGGTTATAATAATTGGGATTCGTGTTCCCTTATAGCTTTGTCCTCAACAGCTTACTGTAGAATTGCTGACACAATACTGTCGGCTAACATTAGCAAGCTAGTTAGCTAGCTAGCCGGACAATTTACATTGTCTTGTCGTAACGTTAGCTTCGATCAGCTAATATTTTCCTGTACCGAAATATGTATGAGAAAAACACGTTGCGTAGATATAACAACCCCCAATATGTAGATTAAAGGACACACTGTTAATGTGTTCAACAAACCTTTTTTATAACCCTTCCTTTCGTTTTCTTTATTCAGAGAGTGTGTACGCCGTTAGACCTGGCTAAAACGTTGCCAATGCCAACCAATCATTTCCGGGAAAAGACCAAGGAACACGGAAGTGAAAGCGTTCTCAGAATTACAATAAAGTAATACATAATATACAATTAATGTTTGACAGTCCCTCTATTTCGGTTGAGGTATTTCTTCGAAAAAGGCTTGTGCACACTAGCCATTTTTCTTTGAAAAAAATGAACAACTACATTAATTTCAGGATGCCAGGAATATCATGATATTAATGTGTTATTATTAAGTGTTTAGGCAACAGCAGCAGCAGCAGCTCTGATTGGTTTGTTGTCAAC